TTGGATTATTTAGCCAGAAGCAACGGTCTGAAGTTAAAAACGTCTTGATTCATTTCTTTCTTACAAACACACAGCTTTTGTCTTCTCCAGATGTTAACTGATGGACTGGAGTGGTGTGGATTATTGTGATGTTTTTATCAGCTGTTTATACTTTCATTCTGATGGCACCCATTCACTGCAGAGCATCCATTGCTGAGCAAGTGCTGCAATGCTACATTTCTCCAAATCTGATGAAGAAACAAACTCATCTACATCTTGATTGGCCTGGGGGTGAACTAAAATAACTTTGGAATTTAAAATAACATCTGGATTAACCATGCATGCATTCATTTATCAGTGGTATGTGGTTGCCAAAAAGATTACATATCTCTGCATGTTATCTAAACCTGAAAAAAAAAAAATCTATTTAAAACTCAGAAATGAGATGGAGAGCAAATGGAGACTTCTATTCTATTTGTATCCTGAGCAAAAGCACATTTGTCTCGCACTGGTTGCAGATATGTCAAGATAATATAGTTTGTAGCATTTGATGAAATATTATTTTTATTCGGAATGTTGTTTTTTTTAAACAAACTTGTTTTTAAATTGCATCGGTGTTGCCATTTCTGCCACAGAACACAGCAGCTTATTTATAACCCTTTTGCAGTATATTTCCTGAAAGTTTTACAGAAGGCTTATTTATCAGGGGTTTTGAGGGCTTGACCACTTGTCCAATCGCATCTCCTGTGAGAAACTGCAGAGGAGTCGCAAGTTGTGAAGGAAATCATTTAATATGAGATGAAACTGTTTCTTTCCTTTGAAACGTAACTTTAAAGAGGTGCAGCTCGACGTCAGTATAAGTAAATATTCTAGAATCCTCAACACTAATTTGACCGCAACAGTGGCTGAATTGGCTTGAGTTTAGAAATAATTAGCTTGAAACGAGTTACTTTCTTTAGAATAAATGCAGATTCACATGATATTTACCCTCGAATGCAATGTCGTTTAGAATTTTGCATCAGATAGGATTCATTTATGGCATTTTTATAGGCTCTGTGGTAAAACTTCGGTGACGTGAAGGCCATTGAATGACTGGTTTATCAGTCATGTGATCCAGCTGGAGAGTTGTTGACGTCACACCTTCGATGCTCTAACCATCAGTAAATCTCTGATAAATAACTGACTTCATTGAGGTGTATTAGTAGGAATGCACTGAACTCTTACCGATTATTATTTTCTACATATAGCCGATAACCGGTAAATATGATAAAATTCAACAATTTTGTGTAACTAAAACAGTAAAGCAAGTAAGTAAATGAATAAATAAAAAGTCTTTTAAATGCTAAAATGGAATTGGCATCACAACACTACAGTGTAAACCGATATTTATTTTCAGATTTGCTACGGATTACATTTTTACAGATGATTAACTTTAAGTGAGTGTTAGATAATGATAAAAGTAATCTACGTGTAAATAAAAGGAGTATGGATTAAATTTCATATCGGATATCGGCCTGACAACATCAGCAGACTGACTGAAATAAATAAAAATACAAGAAGTATTTTGCTTGTTTTTCAGTAAAACATCTTAATCTATATCTAAATCAAAGAAAGAAAAAGCAAAATGACGATCTTTTGAGTTTTTTTTTGTTTGTTTAAAACAATAAATATCTGCCAGTGGGCTCAGAAAAATAAACTTGTTTTCCCTTTGAATTAATTTTATTGTTCTGAGCCCATTGGCAGATAACTTCTTGTTTTAAGTATAAACTCACTTAAATTTTTGTTTTCAGGAAACAAGACTTAGTAATAAAATAAAACAATATTTTATTAATTAATTTTCTCCTTAACCTCCTCATATACAGTAGTGGCCAAAATGATTAGAACACTAGTATTTTCAGCATCTAAAAAATGGTTTTAAAGGGAGTTATTTCTGTCCTTCGCTGTAGTGTGTCAGCAGAAAATATCAGTTTACAACATTCATTTTGCCATTAATTGTGATAATGGATGGCAAAATTAATGTTTGGAAATGTAAACTTACATTTCACTACAGCAAAAGATCACAACCACTGTACATTTATCTTAATTTAAAATTTTAGATATTTGTACTGGAAAACAAGACCAGAAATACTGAAGAAAATCATTTTTGCAGGTGCACATTAAATATATATGTACTAACCAGGTCCTGGTTGCCTGTGAATGCGAGTGAGCCGTTTGTGTAATCTGCGATATGATGCCGCACTGTTGGCCAGAGGGCTCTTGAAATGTGGCCCTTTAGTCAGAATAACACAAATCAAACATTCAATACAGCCTTCTTGCCTTAATGAATTATTTTTCAGCCGGTGAAAGAAAAATCAAGCGTATCTGTGGACCGGTGTTGATTGTACTTTCAAAAAAGCCTGGAAGCAGAACTTAAACACAGCAGAGGGATCAAACGCCGGGCCCGGGGGGGAAAGAAACATGCACACTGATATAGTACAGGGCTTTAATGACAGATTGCTAAATAGTACCGTTATGCTTTTTAAATGCAAATGAGGGTGAGTGAGTTTCAGAGGCATGGAGAGAGCGACCCATTTTCAGAGTCTGGGATGAGTCAGGGTACGAGAGCGTGGGAGTGCGGCCGCATTTTGACCGACCGCAAAGAGATGCACATGCGAAAGCCGAGATTTCACACAGACAGACTGTGCAACACACTTCGTCTTCTGCATGCATAGAGTTATCGAAAAGCCCATGCTGTAATAAATCCCGGCCTGAAAACGCTTGTTGCAGAGCTGAAGGTGTGGCGAGAAGAGATGTGCATGCCTTTGCATTTATTTATTCAGACCGGAGCTGTGAAATAAGCATGATAATGAACAATCAGATGATCATTATTACATGGGGTGGCCATACGCCCTCGCTATTTCCTGGCTGGGATTTCTAAATTGCCTAAAATTTCCAGGTTTGGCTTCGTTTTCCCCATCATGATTGTACTTGTTAATGACTGAAAAGTAGTATGCATGCATTGTGCATAATCAACCAATCCAATTGTGGAGTGCCCAGGTTTGAATGTGATGAATTTAAGACATAAATATTTGTGTTTATACGTCTCAGCAGTAGCAATTTCACTCATATTGCAGTTCAAATTACAAAATATGACAATATATATATATATGTGTGTGTGTGTGTGTGTGTGTGTATATATAAAAAAAATAAATGACTTACTAAAAAATGTTTTAATATTTGTCAGTTTATTTGAGGTGTTTTAGTTTCGATGACTTTTAGAATGTTTCTGTTTCCCGTTTCCTTTGTTCCAGTGTTCCGTTTGTAATTAGTTGCCATGGTTATTCATTATGTTACCAATTAACACACAATTTTGAACACACACAGCTGCAAAATTTCAAATGCAACCCAGTTATTCCAATAGAAATCCACGTGATCAAAAAACAACTTCACCACTAAATTTCGCTCATGATCAAGTTGGGCGTTTTTTTTTTTTTTTAAAGGAAATGTGGCCGGTCCTAAGTGATAGTTCACTCAAATGAAAATTCTCATCATTTACTCACCCTCATGTCGTTCCAAACCTGTATGACTTTCTTCTGCCGAACATAACATAAGATGTTTTGAAGAATGTTGGTAACCAAACACTTGATGGTCCCCATTGACTTCCCTCAATTCTTTTTTTAATGCTGACAATGTTTATTTTTGGGTGAACTGTCCCTTTAAGGGTTGGCTGACAAAAACATTTGCGAACCCCTGAATTAAGGTATATTTACGTCATGAACAGTGCAGGATGGGTTACATGTGAACAAATAGTTTAGAATTCACACTAACACTTAAGTTTTGGGACCAATTTTCACGATCAACTAGTTGTTTATTAGCATGCATATTACTAGCATATTGTCTGTTTATTAGTACTTACAGTATAAAGTGCATATTAATGTCTTAAAGGCTACTGCATTTAGATCCCTTAATCTGAGCCCATTACTAACTATTAATAAGATGCAAATTAGGAGTTTATCGAGGCAAAAGTCAGTCAATAGTTAATGAAAATTGGTCCCTAAACTGTGCGACAGAATTAACTAGTATGAACACACATTAGTCAGCATAGCACCATATGTACTTTATACAGGAATTAAACAAGGCTGTGGATTGTACGGTTGATTAACACCGCGATCGTTCAGCTGACAAATCGTCTTTGTGTTAAGTGAAATTGTGATTTACGACCTTTATGCAGTGCGTGCCACTGTAAAGACTGTACATGTGTTCCTCACAGCCTCATTTTCATCAGTGTTAAAGGTGTATACACTCTCAGGAAAAAAAAAGGTACAAAAGCTGTGTGTCAGTACCTTTTCAAAAGAAACTCCTTTGCACCTTATTTACCCCTGTAAGTACCTTAAAAGGTACATATTAATTCCAAAAGTGTACATGCGAGTACCTAAATGACACATATTAATACCTTTTAAAAGGTACTGTGCCAGTGACAGCTTTTGTACCTTTTTTTATGAGAGTCTATCTCTGTCTATTCAGCATGTCTTTCAATGCTCGTGTGTGCGCGCGAGATGATGATGCAACTCGGGATGTGTCTGACCCTTACTGTTTGACTCGGTGTGTCACTGAATTTGATCACTGCTATGATTCCCTACTCTCAATATTAACAGGAGGCTTTCATTAACCCGAGGTCAGGCTTCATGTGTCCGCAGGGCTTTTTTCATCACTCTCACCATCTTTCTCTTTTAATCCATCTCTCCTCTCCCGAATGTCATTTCTCCTGGTTTTCCTTATTAGCTCTTTTTTTTTTTAGTGTGACTGCAAATTCACCCTAGCAAAACCGCCAGCCATTTAATGATTAAACACTCCTTGAAATGACCTGCCCTCTCATACAGTGTTGGAAAATATTGCCGTTTTCCTTCTCGCTCAGTGATTCAGGTGTGGACTTTATCGGGACCCTAAACCAGATACAGAATAATTTACACCCTGCATGTGAGATTGTGGTCATTTCCTGTAAATTTACAGTACAATTGCTGTACGTTGTTCTCTTTTCACAGGCCTGGCTCACAGAGATTCACGAGTTCACTCAGCAGAACGTAGTGATCATGCTTCTGGGTAACAAGGTCAGTGAACCTGCCGAACCTTATAGATACGTCATGTGAAACCTTATGCATGTGTTGCATCAATTCATACATCATTAATGTAGAAAACATTGAAGACTAATGCATAATTTATTGATTGATTCATTGAGCGATTGATTGAGGTTTCAGGCCGATTCTACACATGAAAGGATTGTGAAGAGAGAGGAGGGTGAAAAACTGGCTAAGGTTTGTAATGTCAACACACACACACACACTTTTAATTCTTTATTAGTAAAACCTTTTTAAAGGGGCAATGTAACTTTAAACCGTAACTACAAATCAACTGGAGACAAGATAAATGCACGTCGCTCACCTTATTTAGCCTCTTTTATTGTTTGAGAGGTTGCACAATTATTTAATACATATGTGACAAAACAAACTTATGCAGTTATGTTTTTTTTTTTTTGTTTTTTAAAAAAAAATACTAATCATAATTTTTAAATGCTAATCTTTGTGTAAAACTAGGGAACATTTCTGAATGCATCTTTAAATGGTAACACAAATCACTGTATGTGCAGTTTTCACTAATGCATTTCATGCATTAATTGAAACCGTAAATTACAAATACATAACCGACTAAATTAAAGGTTTAGTTCACTGAATTTACTCACACCACCCCCATGTCATCCAAGATGTTCTTGTCTTTCTTTCTTCAGTCGCAAAAAAATTAAGTTGAGGTTTTTTTCTCCATATAGTGGACTTCAATGGGGATCAGCGGGTTGAAGGTCCAAATTGCAATTTCAATGCAGCTTCAAAGGGCTCTACAGGAACACAGCCAATGATTAAGGGTCTAAGCTAGTGAAACGATCCATCACTTTCTTAAAAATAAAAAATGTATATACTTTTAAACCACAAATGCTCATCTTGCACTAGTGCATCTACTAACGCTACTTCATGCATTGCGTAATAAACACTGGAAAAGTCACACGTGGTTAGTTCTTCGTCTGTGTAAAAACTGCATCACGTTTTCTCCTCCAATTTCAAAATTGTCCAACATCATTGTTTTGCCTTTTTTTTTTTTTTCCTAAAGGGCGTTTGACTTTCTTTGTACATGCTTTGTAAGCACTGGGTCGGTACTTCCGCCGATGTCACGCGTGCATGATTATGTAATGCTTGAGTTCGAGCATTTGTGGTTAAAAAAAAAAAATAATAATAAATATATATATATATATATAAAAACCCATTGAAGTCCACTATATAGAGAAAAATCCTGGAATGTTTCTCAAATTTCGACTTATGACATGGGGTTGAGTAAATTATCAGGAGTTTCTCTATGCCTTATTTAGCCTCTATTATTGTCTTTGAGAGGTTGCACCGTTTAAATTTATGCACTTGACAAAAACACACATGAGCACTGATCCCACTCTTTATAAATGCAATGTGCATTATTTTTAATGTTAATTTGTGTCTGTATGTTATAAAGGAAGAAGAGCATTTATTCTCTCTCTCTCTAAAGGACTTTGGCGTTCCCTTCATGGAAACCAGTGCTAAATCAGGTCTGAATGTGGAGTTGGCCTTCACTGCTGTGGCCAAGTAAGTCATTCATTTTCAGACTGAATCAGTTTTTTTTTTTGTATATATATATATATATATATATTTATATATTTTTTTTTTAAACGCATTGAGAATCTGCTGAATGAATTTATAACTGGCAACGTGTTCTACTGTAAATGGAGCTGAGAGAACCGCTCTTAATGGCAGCTGAAAGCATGATCAAAGTAGCCCAGATATCTAATAAACAAACACACAATTCTAAAATCAGGACATTCTGTGTGGGGCTAATATGTACCGATTCATCTTTATACTGGAAGACCGTTTACAGACACATAATATTAGCAACCACATAGCAACATATTAAACACTTAAAACACCTTAGCAACACACTGAAACCCCATAGCAACATTAACACCATAGCAACCACATCAAATGCGGTTTTAAAAAAAAAAAAAAAAAAAAAAAAAAAAAAAAAAAAAAA